GGCAGAGAAGAAGAGAGTCCTGAGAGCGGTAAAGAGCAGCACGTTGGGTGTAAAATTGAAAAGGGGAGAAAGGCAGAAGTAAAACTGCCGTCTTCCTTACTGGGGGGGTTCCCCCAAAACCAGGCAGTGAAATATATGTGTTCAAAGTAAGGATTCTCAGTCCCTGTGTGGGTTGGAATGGCTCGTTCAGAAGTTCATAGGGGTGTGTGATGCACTGAGGAGGCTGTGGGTCTCTGGTGACCGGTGGCAGGACCTAAGGAAACGGCTGGAGCTGTGTCAGGGGAGGGTTAGATTGGGTATCAGGAAAAGGTTCTTCCCCCAGAGGGTGGTTGGGCACTGACCAGGCTCCCCAGGGCAGTGGGCACAGCACCAAAGCTGCCAGAGCTCCAGGAGTGTGACAACACTGAGTGACAGGGTGGGATTGCTGGGGTGTCTGTGGAGGGCCAGGAGTTGGACTGGATGATCTTTGTGTGTCCCTTCCAGCTCAGGATATTCTGTGATGCTATGAAAATGTTGTATTTAGTGTGAGCAGACCAGTGTGGCAAAAGGATTACTTTTAAAGTATTTTATCACTCAAGATGTTCATTTTTACCCTTTCAGCTCTGGATCACAAGGATTGGAGCAGCTTCCCTTGAACACGGTTTGAAGTACCCAGTCTTCATAAGCAACCTGGTTAAGGTAGGGATGGGGCTTGGAGAATAATTACTTACTAATTCTAGTGATGAAAGGCCTTCTGCTTGTGAAAGCAGTTTCATTCACTTCAGGAATTAAGTTCTGCCCTAAACCTGTTTCTCTTCCTTACATGCATCATCCCCTTTTATCCTGGTGAACATTGTGGCTCTACACCTTGTTCTGTCCCCAAAACTCTTACTGAGCACCTTAAGAATGAGACTTGTAAAATGCTCTTACACTGTTGCTCTTGTGGGCATTAAGTGACAACTTGCTTTCCTTTTACTTGAAGAAATTTAGAAGAAGTTTAAAAATACAAAGCTTCGATTGGAAAAAAAAAACACCCTAAGAAATCTGTATTCTCTTCACTGACTTTGTGCTTTGCTGAGCATGGACAGTGCAGAGAGCTGGTGCCATTGTCCATGTTTTTAAACATTCTGGGAATTGGTTTTAATTTGTCGATACAGCTTTTAATGTGTTGAGACTGTTGGTTTTAATTTTAGTTTTAATCGGTTTTCATTTGTTGATACTGTTTTTAATTTGTTTGAGCTGAAACAAATGCCATGGGTTAACCTGGAACACATGGCCTGGAGCAAAATAAGAGATTCTTCTTCAGCTCTTGATTTCTACCAGAAAAACTTAGGAAACAGGTTTTACACAGTGGCTTAATGAGATATCCATGGCCAAGTAGTCATGTGTGACGGTCTTTAACAATTCCAAAATTATACAGGGTAGAAAAAAGGTAATTTGCCTTAAGACCTCAGGTATTAAGCACTAAGAATGTTTAATGAAATTTAATGAAGAGTGTTTATATAAACAATAAAGTGTTTATTATATTTAATAAAGTGTGATTAAGCATTGCACTGTTGATCCTAAAAATTACAGGACTTAACCAGCAAATTTTCTTGCATTTAGTCCCAGGTGGAGCTGAATAGGAAAGTGCTCGCTGATCTGGCTATTTATGAGCCAAAGACCTTCAAGTCCTTGGCTGCTTTAGCCCAGAGGAGGAGACAAGAAGGATTCCTGGCTGCCCTGGGAGATGGAAAAGAACCAGAAGGGATATTTTCACGGATTGTGCGTCACCACTACTGATATCAAAGAGTCTGTATATATGTGTTATAAACAGGGATTGAATTGCAAAGTAAACCTGCTCTGTGACTGCTGCTAAGATGGAAAATATGGGACAATATCCTCGTAAGGATGGTTCCAGCAGGATGAGGTGGGTCTGGGTGTGAAGCTTCACCTTGGTGGCATTTTCCTGTGTTGTTGTCACTGAAACCTGTTAAATTAAAAGTACAGTTCAATGTTAGCAGTCAGGCCATGCAAGAACACACATAGCCTGTTCTCTTAATAACTTAATAAAGATATTTTTTCGGTAACTTTGGAAAAAAACTCATTTATGTGGTGAATTCTGGCGCTGCACAGTGAAAACCCAGCTGGGGTGGGGGAGTGTGTTGACCCCAACATGTGGACCTCAGTAGCCAGTGTGTTAAGGACACAAGGACACATACAGTCTGCTCTTTTAAGGACTTAATATAGGGGTTTTTTTTTTGGTAACTGGCTAATGGAAAAAACAATATGTGTGTTGAATTCTGGCGCTGCACAGGGGAAAACCCAGCCCGGAGGCACAGAGGACATCGACCCTCGCACGTGGACCCTGTGTGTTGAGGACACAAGGACACACATAGTCTGTTCTTTTAAGGACTTAATCAAGGCCTTTTTGTTTGGTAACTGCTGTGGGGAAATAACATGGGGAAATAATTTGGTGAGTTCTGGCTCTCCATGTGGAAAATCCAGCCCTGGCGACCCTCGCACATGGAACCCAGCGGCTGCTGTGTTAAGGACACAAGGTCACAGAAGAACTTAATAAAAGAGGGGGGTTGTGGCAACTATTGCTGGGAAAATTAGTATGTTTTGGGGTTTTTTGTGTGCGTGGTGAGTTCTGGCGCTGCACGGGGAAAACCCAGCCTGGGAAGGGGGGCGAAAGGGCGGGGGCGGGACATCGACTCTCGTGCACACGAACCGCGGCAGCCGCCACGCTAAGGACACACGGGCACATACAGTCTGTTCTAACATTTAACTTAATTGACTTAACATTTTGACTGAATAAACACATCTTTCCGGTAACCGCTGTGCGCAGACAGCGACGGGGCCCGCCCCGGCTCTGAGGGCGCCGCCCCCCCTGCCCCCGCCCTGCTCGGATTCCCGAGAGCTGCGTCACCGCGCTGCGCGCGGCCCCGGGCGGCGTCTGACGTCACGACCTCTCCGCCAATCAGCGGGCGGCACCGCGCCGCTCTTCGCCAATCAGCGGCGGGCGGACGCGGGTGGAAGCAGAAGGAGAAGGAGCGCGGAGCCAGCGAGGCGGCGGCACAAAATGGCGGCGGCGACGGCGGGCGGTGCGGGAGGCGGCGGCAGCGGCGGCCCCCGGGTCCTCAGGCCGCCGGTGCGGTTCCCACCCCGGCGCCGGGCTCCGGCGCGGTGCGCATCGGCGACCGGCTGTACTCGGGCGTGCTGATCACGCTGGAGAACTGCCTCCTGCCCGAGCACACGCTGCGCTTCACGCCGTCCATGAGCAGCGGCCTGGACCCGGACACCGAGACCGAGCTGCGCGTCACGGCTGCGAGCTCATCCAGGCGGCCGGGATTCTGCTGCGGCTGCCGCAGGTGGGGCTGGGCCGCGGGTGGGGAGGCTCTGGGAGCGGGCTTGGCCCGGCTGGGCTTTCCTTTGTCCCTGGCCCGCTGTCCCGGTTCCAGGCCGGGGAGGCCGCGGGGACCCGGTTCCAGGCCGGGGTGGCGGGGACCGCTCGGGGGTCGCTCAGGGACCGCTCGGGGGTCGCTCGGGGCCTTGCCCGGCCTGGCCCGGCCGCGGAGCGCAGGAAGCGGGTGATGTCAGCGCCTTTCCTGCGCCGCCCCCGCCGCCTCTGCTGTGATCGGGGATTGTGCAAAGACGGATTTGAGTCGTGACCTCGAGAGGCTTTTGTTCCCCTGGAGAACTTCGGGCCCAAACGGCCTCGTTGCTCTCTGAGCGTTAAAACTTTCCAGGCGTTTCCCAGCTGCCAGGCCTCAGCTACTCAAATATATGCAAATCATAATGTTATTAGTTTCCATTTCTCTTTCCACGCCCCAAAATCAAAGTTTTTCCGGTATATCCTCATAACTTTCAGTTTTATTGAGTTTTGGGGCTTTTTTCCCCCTTTAAATCACTATTTATTCAATTAACTTGGAGCATATTTTCATAGTTTCTAAAATTTGCAATTTAATGTATGAATTTGGCTTAGAGTATTTATGGTCTTGATAACTTAAGTACTTAAGTAGCAGTTCTAGTTTTCCTTAGATACCACTGAATTTACTCCCAGACTTCTGGGTCCCAAATCTGTAGAAATTTCTCATTGGAACTGCTGGTTTTGTTCATGCCTGTTGTGGTTATCTGTTTGTTTGGTTTTTTTTTTTAGGTGGCTATGGCTACTGGACAGGTGCTATTCCAGCGTTTTTTTTATACCAAGTCTTTTGTGAAGCATTCCATGGAGGTAAGGGAACATTAAATAACGTGTTATTTATATACATAGAACCATATACACCTTTTAATCTTTGATCTCTTTTGGCAAGTTGTCATCTGAGATGTGGCCAGTGTTAGTGGCTGGCCTGGAGGTTATACTTAGAGAACAACATAATTTTACAAAGCTACATAATAATGATTTTTTTCAAATGTTTAGTATTTCCTTGTTTTAGCACAGTTTTCTCTTGTTGTCCCTCCTTCAGCTGTTGGAAGAGATCAGTTCCTGAGCTGAAACTGTTGTTATATGATACAATACGTTATATAAAATACATTATATATTTGTATTTCAGCATGTGTCCATGGCCTGTGTTCATCTGGCATCCAAAATTGAGGAAGCCCCGAGACGGATACGGGATGTGATAAATGTGTTCCATCGCCTCAGACACCTGAGGGAGAAAAAGTAAGCTGAGACTCTGCAATAATATTCAGTATTTGTGTTGTATTTTAATAATTAAACTTCATAATTCGCTGATTTACAAATCTGGGAGCATCTTGAAGAGATCTCGTGAAGGGGAGTTGACACATTTTATTAAGTAATTTTTTTTAGTGTTATAAATACTGATACCTCTTATTTTTACATGAACACAGCCTGCCTATGAGCCCTCTCTGAGGTTAAGATGATCTCCAGAATGTGACCTTGTCTTGCAGAAAACCTGTGCCTCTAATACTGGATCAAGACTATGTGAACTTGAAGAATCAAATAATTAAGGCAGAAAGAAGAGTGTTGAAGGAGTTGGGATTTTGTGTTCATGTGAAGCACCCTCATAAGGTTTGTTCTGCCTAAGTTCACTTCATAACCAGTGTTTCATGTGCTGTAATGCTTTGAGGAGGCTGCCTGACTGCATGGATTGTACATGATAACTTCAGTTAATTCAGAAAGATTAGTTTCTTACCATCCTGATGTTTTCTTTCTCATTTAAGAGACTCTTACTAATTGGTCTTGTATCACTGCTGAATGACGACGAGGTGGATGCAGGTGCTCAGTATCCCTTGAAGTCAAATTGGATGAGTAGGTAGCTTTGGTGTTAGAAAATGTCACTGTAACATAGATCCTTGAGCAGAAAAGGAATTGGGGACCTGGAGTTGTCACGATCTCTCCTTGTGGAAACATGCTGAGGTATTAAAGCCATCTGAGCTAGTTAGTGGGTTTTGTGTTCTAAAAGTTACACTCAGGTGTGAAGAGCTTGGCTAGAAATGAGACTGTTCTCAGTATTGAAGTGTCAAGTATCAGACTAGGGTGATACTAGACAGGTACAACTCCTGCAGGTATTAGGATGGTGCTTTATTACCATTAATATTATAACTGTGGTAAAAGAACTTCCAACTTCTGTGCCAGCAGAACTTGGGATCTTCCTCTTTCCTCCAAAAACTGCTGTTGAAAGTCTTCTTTTTGAGCCTGCTTGGCATCCAGAATTCCCTCTAGTCACCCACCCTGGAGGGCAGCTGCACTTGTTTGTTCATTGGTGTGAACTTTGCCTTTAGTCCTTTTCTCTCTGGCCTCGTTTTCCTTTCAAAGGAAAAGCCCTTCGAGCTGAGCAGCCCAGTGACACCCAGTGTGTTAGATCTGTTCTCTGCACACACTTCCCTCACTGCCCAGTGCAGGCAGCAGTATTTTCTCCCTAGTTGCAGCTAAAAGGAACCCTGAGGTTTGTAGGAGAACATCCTTAGGTGGCATCCAGGTGAAGACAAGACACCTGGCTGAGGAGGAGGATGGATGGGCTCTGAACGTGGAGAGCTAGGAAGGCCAGAGCTGTGTGGATAAACACTGGGGATGGTGCAAACACTTCATGTGGAGTGTTGTAGGACTTGAAAGAGGCTGACAGATGCCTCCTGGATGTCCCTCTGAAATGAGTTGGTGGCTCTCCAGATGCTCGTTAATAACTCAATAACCCATATCTTCCAGATAATCGTTATGTACCTTCAGGTATTAGAATGTGAACGTAACCAACACCTGGTCCAGACCTCATGGTAAGTTGATTTTCCTTGTTCTAAGAGACCAGAAGGGGCAGTAGCAGAAATATGTCACTTGAGGCACTGGGCAGCATTGCTCAGGAGTGCTTGGGGCCACACCAGACAGATCCACTGTCCTTGGCGTGCCCCAAACTACTTCCCAAATGTTGATCGGCCTCTTAAGTCAGAGGCACTGTTTTAATGGTAAGGTAGCTTTCCACCCTGACTTCTCACTTCCCTCCTCTCTACTTCCACTTTTCAGCTGAAGGGAAAATGTTGGGGTGGGTTTTAGTGTTTCCTTGGTTTTTTGTTGTTCATGTGTAGTTCAAGTCTGTTTCCAGTGCTGGGAAATGGCTTTTCCCAGGCCTTGAGCTCGATTACAGGTGTATCAAAACCTCAGCACAGACACATTTCTATTATCTATGTGGATAATGCAAGTTGTCAGCTTCTAAGACTGGATAGATGGATAGACTGGATTCTTGTTTGCCAAGAAATGTCCTCTGCCTTATTGCTTTCATTACAATAAATATTTGCTTGGGGGTGGGAAGCTTCTGTAAAATTACAGGTCTGAAAACTTTTAACAAATAAATAAACGCTTCGAAACCATAATGCTTTTTAACAATAGCGTGGTGTAAAAACCCTTTTAGTGAGTCCAAAGACCATATTTCTGCTGACTGAACTGTCTGGTACTGTGACCTGTGTGTAGAGAACCAGTTTTGACTTTTCTTTTCTGTACTCTTTTAATCAAAGGGTAGCCTCTGAGGGTAAGTGACTAAGACTTCTCCTCTGCTGCCCATGGTGCAGGGATAGCTGCCGTCTTCAGTCAACCCAAAGCTCTCCAAAGAGAAGGCTGGCTCTAGACAGGTGGTATATACATGATAGTAGAGTAACTGGCCAACTGCTTCTTGTGCTTATACTTTTATTTTTTTATTGTGCATTTTTGACTGTTTGTATATTTTATAACCTGACTGTTGAAGTTACGAAAGGGTTTTAATGTTCTATCTCGTAATGTGATGTGTTCTTTAAGTGATAAAGCAAATTTAAGGTGGGGTTTAAGTCTTAAAGGGATGGATTAACACAAAAAAATACGAGTAGTTTGCATTTGTAAATTAGTCAGAAAACATTTGAGTACATGTTTGAAGCCTGGAGACAAATGTAACACTTAGAGACACTTCCTGACTTCCCAGTACCATTGCATGGAGTACTGGAATGTGAGGTATGGACTGATCACTGCCAGTTATCTGCTTGTAATGGGAGGAGGAGGAGGAGGGGAGGAGGAGGGAGGGAGTTACCCTGCTAGAGAAATGGGTCAGATGTTACAATAACACATCTCTTGTGCTCATGTTGGTTGCTTCCAGTACCTGCAAACTGGTGGGTATCCAGTATAGTTGGTTTTTGAAATGTGCATTTTTCACAGCTTTCCCTTTTTCTTAAAATATTGTGACAAGGATTCATTTCCCCACGTGTCTGATTCTGAGCCCACAGGGAAGATGTGCAGAGGCCAAACCTGGAGCAGGCATGTCTTTCAATTTGGCACATTAAAAAAAAAGGCTGTGTGACTTCCAGCTGAAGTTCCACTTTATCTCTTTTTTTTTTTTTTTTTTTTTTGACCAAAAGGTTTGTGCTCTCTTTGTAGTGGGACAAGAAAAGTAGGTTTTGAAGTTCTTTTTTTCCCAGAAAGATGAGCTGAATGGGTAGTGTTGCTTCTCTGGGGTAGCAGTTGTTCTTTGTGTAAACAGGAATGTAGGACAAGTGGGAGTTGGATACTCTTGGGATTCAAGTTCCTTTGTCTGCCCTTGTAAACTGCTTGCAGATGTCTGGCCTGTGGTCTCTGCTTTGGATGTCTTGGGGATCAGTGAATCCTTGTATACTGGGTACCCACACGGTTAATTACTACTTTAAAACATAATATTTTGAGGACTTCTATTGTGTCTGGTTTTAGTTTTTCTCCATCTGATATTTTGCTTGATATAAGTGCTCAAAAACTAGATCTCTTAAAGCACATCAGCTGAGAGATTCAGAGGAAGTTACTTTGTGTATTTAAGATTTAGCAGGATAATTCTTAAGTGTACTGACTGGAATATGTGCAATATTTTACAGTTTTCTCATTCTGTGAATATTCATTTTAAGCAACCTTACTGAAATGGGACAATTTGGAAACCTTATTTCATGTGCCAAAGAGGAGATCTGCCTGAATACTGACTGTTATCCTGAACTGACGTTCCCAAACAACCTGATTTCTTCTATGGCTGATTTTTGCATCAAAAAGAATTCTGTTCTGGATGGAAAAATCCTGCTTCTGAAGGAAATGGACCCCTTAAATCCCAGTGGGAGTTGTCATGTGCTGAAGAGGACTGCACTTTCCTGGGACAGCTACTGAAGGAGCTGCAGCTTTTGCCAGACATCTGGTTCTGCCCTATTGCAGGGAAACATGTGAACCTAAAATTCTTTAACTGAGTACTCCAGACCATATTGTATGTTGTCCTGATGAAAATAACTTTGTCTATTGCATGAGAGCAGGCCAGTAGAGATCCAGCAGGAAAAGTGAAGTTCAAATTGGTTCTCTTCTCACAGCTGAATTTTCAGCAGTCAGTCAGGCTTAATTCCTGTCACACATCCCTACCCTTGAGGGATTTACTTTAGTTTTTCTTTTTTTCCAAGTTAAAAAAAAAAAAAATCATTCAGCTTCTCTTTATAGAGTTACAGGACTCTAATGTTGAAGTCTAGTAACTGAATGCAGAAAGAAATAGCCCTCGTAGAAGTAAAACCAAAAGAAATAAAACAACAAAACAAAACAAAAACCCCCAAAGAGCTTTGCAGTGCCTTGCAACGTTCTGCTCTCCTGTCTTGCAGGAACTACATGAACGACAGCCTGAGAACAGATGTCTTTGTGAGGTTCCAGCCAGAAAGCATTGCCTGTGCATGCATTTACCTGGCAGCCAGGACTCTGGAGGTGAGCCAGGGTTTTCCATGGATTTGGGAGGGGGTTTTAAGCCTCCTCACAGGAGCAGAAAGCTGAGGGTGTCTCCGTCTCTGCCTTTCAGATCCCCCTTCCCAATCGCCCGCACTGGTTTTTGCTGTTCGGAGCGACGGAGGAAGAAATCCAAGAAATCTGCTTAAAAATTTTGCAGCTCTACACAAGGAAAAAGGTTTGTTTCTTTTGCATGTTGGGAGCCCTCACTTAAAAAAAAAAAAACCAAACCCTTGTCCTGTTTGGAACCAAGGCTGGTTTTGGGAAGGGAACATGAAGGGAGCAAGGAATAGTCGCTGTCCCTGTGAGCGAGCAAGCAGGAAGTTCAGTTCACTGAGTGTTGTCACCAGCAGTGCTCCTGTGTCCACAGGTGGATTTGTCTGATCTGGAAAGTAAAATAGAAAAGAAGAAATTAGCTATTGAAGAGGCAAAAGCACAAGCTAAAGGTCTGGTACCTGAGGGAGTCCCGAGTTTGGATAACACATCAGGATTTTCCCCTGCCCCGAAAAATGGTAAATAGTGGATAACTCAGTTTTAATAACTTTCTCATCTTTCATGTATATTTACCCCTTCGGGGTGCATTTACAAGTGTGGTTTGGGGTTGGTTGGGGATTTTTTTTTCAGGCTGGCTTCTAGCTACTGTTCAACTGGCAGAGTTTGAATAGCATTGCAACTTTGTGATTTCTTGAATCAGATAAAAGCTAAAATCAAATTAGTCTAAAATTAAGACTAGTTTAAACTCATATAGTGCAGGGGCTTGTTTTTATGTGGTTTTGGCAATAAATACTAGCAACTGGCATGTTATGCTGAAGCAATATTAAAGCAGAGGTGTGTTAGGAGCTCTGGCAGGAGTAACATTTTGGGGTGACTGGTGGGGAATATTTTGCTGCACTTCTTGGTTGAAAGTTTCCAGTCTGGTGCCAGTCTTGCCTAGAAGGTAACATTTACCATCATCTCCCCTCAGTTTACCTTTAAAGTGATACTGAATAACTGGCAAGAAAAGGAAGTTGCTGTTCTGCCTCCAGTTCGCTCCTTGAGTGAAACATTTGGCAAAAAGTTTCGGATTAACTTCTGCTTTCTGTGAACTTGTTCAGATCTGTTTGTGGGTGGTTGTGTGTGTGGAAAATGCAGCTGTGCAGTTCTGATCCTTGCAGAGGTGGTGAGATGGGGCGAGGGGAGCCTTCAGTCCTTTCAGGTACTTCCCATACTTGCAAAATAGGTAACAAAGGCTTGTTTTTCCAGAGTCTCCAAAGGAGGTTAAAGGAAATAAACCTTCCCCACTACCTGTCCAGGCAATGAAGAATGCTAAAAGGAAAACAGAGGGAGCCAAAAGAACGAGCTCCAATAGCCCAGTAAATGGGTAAGGCCTCATAAGGAAGCAGCTTCTTTCTTCCCACGAGTACTTTAAGCAAAATAACTGAGTGTTTATTGTCTCTTGCAGCGTCCAGAAAGGGAGGGAGAGCAGAAGTCGGAGTGGGAGCAGAGATCAGAGTTACTCCAGATCAGCCTCGAGATCTGCATCCCCTAAGCACAGGTATGTGCTGCTGCACGGGGGGGCTGTGCTGGGACACCCTCCCAGGCTGGGATTTCAGTGGTTTGTCCCCAAGAGGCTGTGAAGTGACACAGCAGTGTGTACTGCCAGTTAAACTCCAGACTAAACTCCAGACTGAACTCCAAGCTGGGGCGTTTTGGTGGCAGTGTCACTATAACTGAAGCTGGAGAAAGGGATACAAGTTCCTAAAAATTTCTCCAGTAAGCAGATGTTTTAGGACACAGCTTTTGGCATAAAGTTTCGGATTAACTTCTGCTTTCTGTGAACTTGTTCAGATCTCTTTGTGGGCGGTTGTGTGTGTGGAAATTACAGCTGTGCAGAACAACAGAGTGCAGAATGAAGATGTCACAATTTAAGACAATCGTGTTTTCTCTCCTCTTTTTTTCCTAGGAAAAGCGAGAGCTACTCCACCTCCAGCGGCTCCAAATCCCACAGCCGCTCCCGGAGCCGCAGCGACTCCCCCCCGCGCCAGTTCAACCACAGCTCGGGCTACAAAGGCTCCAAGGTGAGGAGCTACAAGAAATCCAAAGACTACAAATACTCCACCCACAAACCCCGCAAATCCCGCAGCCGGAGCTCGTCCGCGCTCCCGCAGCGCTCCCTGGGAGCGCTCCGACCACTCGGGCAAGTACAAGAAGAAGAGCCACTACTACCGGAACCACCGGCACGAGCGCTCCCGCTCCTACGAGCGCGCCGGGCACCGCTACGAGCGCGAGCACCCCGGGCACAGCCGGCACCGCCGCTGAGGGCACCCCTGCTCCCGAGCCCGGGGTTCGAACCGCCTCGCTCCCTGAGGTCCATCCTGCTGGAGCTCCCTGCTCCTTCCTGAACCCAAGGGGTGAGGGGCTCCACGGGAGAGATGTCCCGGTGACTGTCGTGCTGGAGCGTCCCCCGTCCTGCTCTTTAGTGGTTCCCATCCTGTAGCGTCCCGTCTGGGGCTTCCGCTTCCCTGTGGCTCAGCCCTTGGAATGCTGTGCCCTGTGGAACTGGAAGGCCCCCAGGCAGTTCCTAACCCCTGGGAGTGGCTCTGGTGCTAACAAAAGCTGTCTTTTCATACTGACTCTGGTGTTGTACAGATGGGGGGTGACTTTTCTAGCCCTGTTGCCTATATTAGGTTCTATGTGTATATATATTTTGCAGTGTTACAGTACAATATGGAAATATGGCCTTACTAGCCTTTACACTTTATCCACAATTGTAAATAAGCATTTGTTTAATACAGGTGAAGATATATACAGAAAATTCAAAACTTGAATTCTATGAAAAACAAACCCTTGTGTAGAAAATTCTGATAAATGTGAAAGTATTTAGCTCTGTGCATTGAGAGTAGTATATTTTTATCTGTGCAATGCTGTGTGCAGGCCACCAGCTCATAAGACATTTCCTATATATACATTTTGAGTGGTTTAAAATTCTTTACTCAGGATCTTTGACACTCTGAAGAATTAGTAGTTTGTCAATCTGCATGCTTGTTGGAGAACAGAGCGTTTTAAAGCCAATTAGCAGACCCCCGCAGCCCAGTAGTATCAGTTCTAGTGGTATATCTGAGCTGTTACTCTCTCATGCTCCCTGATTTCATTAAAGTATTTGATTTTCTATTAAATTTACTTGATAGTAGTTTCTTATGAGCTACACCCCTGTGCCTACTCATAAGGAAAGAAATTTGATGATTGTCAAATTGTAGTGGGCTTAAAACATCGGATTAAATCCCTGTTCCCTCGAAGTTAGGAATTTTGGGGCATTCTATTAATTTAGGCACCTCTCCAGTCAATCCCAAATGTAACATCCCCCAATCCACAAAGATCTGAGCTGGGAAGTGCCTTTCCCTGCCTCCAGGTGTAGCTGGCAGGTTCCAGCTGAGGTTCCTGAGCAGGGCTGGGACATTTTGGGAAGTCGGTGCTGCTGCTGAGCACAGCGGAGATCCCATGGCTGGAGCTGGCAGAAGAGGAGGAGCTGAAATCAAAAATAAACCTGAAATTAAAAAGCCCCACGTTTTTATGAGCCTGCACATACAGGTCTCAGCTCTCGAGGTGAGTTATGGCTTTGTTGTCTCAGCATCTGATGACTCTTCCAGGGTTCTTGCTCATCAGAACATCTCAGCTTATTCAGTGATCCCCATTCCTGGTGTTCAGATCCCAGACACAAAGAGGTCACTAAGCAGTTTTATGCCCAATTGGGATTTTTTGAAAGACACTGCAAACCCACCAGAATGCTTTGTTGTCACACAGGGAGTTGTGAAATGCACACCTGGGAAGGAAGGTAATGGATTAAAGCACCTGGAAAAGAAGAGTGTTGAGTGTTTGTGAGACAGAGGTGGCTGGAAAGGAGCTTTATTGGGAAGAAAAGCAGGTTTAAGTACCCAGGGCAGCCTTTCTTGCTGGCTTCTGCCACCTCCACTGTGTGCACAGGGATGAGCTTTTCCCACCAGCTTTGGGGACCTGGAATCCAGGCTGAGCCAACACTTGGTGTGTCTGAGGAGCTGTGTGGAAGTGTCCTGTCACCCTCCTCTCACCCTGGGAGCGTGACAGGAACATTGAACCTTCGGACACTTCCAGATCTTTGAAGTACATCCTGTACATTTTTGGAGCTACTGCAGTTTCTTAGAAATAAATCAAAAAATGGGAAACGGGGCACACCCAGCAAATGTTTGGGGCTTTTCCACAGAATTTTAACAAATTGCAAAACCTCTTTGTGGTTTTGTCTCCCAAGTCTGAGGGGAGAGGCTGTCCCTGACCTCTGTCGGGATGGAGTTAATATTTTAAGAGCTCAGTGAGCTTTTAATAAAGAAAATACAATATTGTGCCAGCAGATGTAATTAAAGCCTCTATCCCTGCACATACCAGATTCTGTATGAGTGTGTGGATCAGGAGTAGGTTGTTGATGTGGGATGGCACACGCAAGCCCTGTGGGGAATATGTGTGAGGATTAGCAAAGGCAGGGCAGGCTGTGGTCAGGGCTCTCTTTGTTCCCCGCGGGAGTTTGTGGAGCGGGGCTTGGGAGCGAGATGGGCTCGGGGCTTTGTGAGAGGGGGAAGAGCAGATCCACCTTCCTCAGTCCGAGCCCGTTCCTTCCCTACCCCGGGGGAGGCGCCGGGCGGGGGCGGGACCGGGACGGCTCCGCATCGCGCAGGTTGAGAACCGCGTGTGGGTGAGAACCGAGCCGGGAGCGCAGCGAGCCGGGACCAGCCGAGCCGGGACCAGCTGAGCCGGGACCAGCCGGGCCGAGCCGAGCAGCATGGCCCAGCCGCGCTGCCGCTCCGTGCTCATTCACCGGCTGCAGCGCGCGCATCGGGCTGGGGCTGGTGCGGGGGCTCGCGGCCGCCACCCCTCCCCAGACTTCGTCCTGGCGACCTGCCGGGACCCCGAGAAGGCGGTCGCGCAGGTAACCGGGCCGGGGGCGCAGAGGGTCCCGGGGGCGGGTAACGGGGGCGGAGGCGAGGAGAAGGCACTTTGGGAAGCGCGGAACATCTCGAGCATCTCCGCGCCCGAGCGCCGGCAGCGAGTGCCCGGGGTGGAATTGGATGGAGCTGGGAATGGGAGGGAGAGAGGATGGGATGGAGCCGGGGGCTGAGCTCCTGCCCGGGGCAGAGGCCGGCGCGGATGGAGCCGGTGGCGGGGAGGTCTCCGAGGCTGGAGCAGGGGGATATCGCCGCTCGGGAGCGTTCCCGGGAGGAGCAGAGCGAGCGGGACACTCCGCAGCCCCCGAGCATCTCCAGCGCTCCTGCTGCCCCGCTCCTCTTGTCCCCGAGTTTCTCGCTGGATTTGCAGCGGGAGATAAGTCTGTCTGTCCGTTTTGCACGGAGCTGGAGCCCTGCAGGGGCAGCGCATCCCTCAGAAACATTCCCAGTGAGACCCGTCACAGCTTTCCTTGTCTCTCCACGCGGTGCGTCTGTGTCCCCAGAAGGGGCTGTGCCCCGTCTGCCTCCTCTCTTTCTCCGCTGCACTTGCAACAGCGAGGAAGCGCGAATGAATGATGAATTCGACACTCAGTGAACTCCACACTCCTCTCAGTGCCCCCCTCGGCCGGGCAGGGCCCAGCACTTTCTGCCGAAAACAGCAGCTTTTCTTACCTGCTGCTGGTGCGTCCACTTGCAGCCCTGTTCCCTTGCAGCCCACGTCCCTGCTGCTACAGGGTGCTGGGACTCCTTCCCCATCCCTCAGCTGCTATAAATGACTGTCAGACAAATTTGGGAGGCAAAATGATGAGGGTTATCAGTCACTTTGTGGCCTCTAGTGATGCATCTCATCTTGACTCTCCTCAGTAAGGTGAATTTAGGGCAGCACGGTCATATGCACAGGTGCTCCAGAGCTGCAGGAATCTGAGCTCTTGGCTCTGTGACTGTCTCAAACCCCTCTGTGATGCCACAGGCATTTGGTAGGAGAATTGATACCCAAAGCCCTGTTTCTGCATCTGCCCTGTTTCAAGGGAAAAGAGAATTCCCTGGCACAGGCAGAGGTGAACAGAACCTGCTCCTTCTGGTGGATTTGATTCCTTTCACACGTGCTGTGATCACACCATGCCAGCAATAAAACAAACACAGCCACTTTGCTTACTGCTTAGCTACATAAAACCTTAAAAATGTGGTGCTGAGGGTCTCCTTCAAGGATGTGGTGCAGGGTTGGTCAGGTAACACCTGCACCCTGACCACCAGGAGCTTCTGCTGCTCTACTTATGAAACTGCAGGGAAAAGTCTTAATTTCCTTTTTTTTTCTTGTAAAATAAAAAAATATCTCCAGCACAAAAGCACATTTAGGATATTTCTGAACAGAAGTGCTGCGAAACAGCCCTGCCAGTCTGAAATCAGGTGCACAGGCTGCCTGTCAGAGCCCTGTTGGCTCCCCCTCACCCCCTTCTGCACCACCTGAGCTCCTGAGCAGGAATCCACTGCCATTCTGTTCCCTTTTAACTCCTGTTCCCACACCTGGCACCTGTCCCAGCCTGTTTCCTTTGGTGGTTGCACAACCCCTGTGCAGCAGCAGCCCAGGAAAGCAGCGGAGACATCTGACCTGTGTCAGATAGAGATCTCCCCGCCGGCTTGTTTGTTCTGAAGCTGCTTGAGCCGCTGCTGAGGGAGGTTCTTTCTCTTTTTCACCGACTGGCCCTTGTGTTCAGCAGTGATTTCTCACTATAATGGTCTGGGATCAATTACATGGAGAAGCAAAATTGTTCCTTCAATAGGAAGAGCTTCCTAGGAAACATTACACGGACGTATCTCAACGCAGCTCGTCGGGTTTCTTGCGTTGTCAGTACCTAAAATTCCCGAGCAAAAAGGTTGGTAAAGCTGCACAAGGAGATTAAACAGCCTTCAGACAGTGCAGGGTGTCTGGGAAGAGTCTGGGTCACTCCTTGCCTGCGGTAAAACCTGGAAAGTCTGCTGGCAGTCTGTCCTGTAGGCAGGAAGCTGGCCCAGAGCCACATTCCAGGAACCCCAGCGGGGATTCTGCAGGACACATGGGGTGCATCCTAAGCTTTTTGGTTTTTAGGGGGGCAAGGTTTGTCCTTGGTGGATCAGGGTGGGTTTTTGTTCTTTGTGAGGACCTCTAGGCCATGTGCTGTGCTTTGGCAGGACATCAATAGAAGCCTCTGCAGCCAGCTGAAAGCAGATTTCTAACAGATGGGTTTGGAAACGCCACAAGGGAGAGAAATCTTTACTAAAGGTACTGTGGTGGTTTCACCAGCGTTATCTGCCCCATCTGCAGTGCCTGGAGTTGGCACAAAACCTGGTGACCTCCTGAGTGTTTGCACTGTGCTGCTGGTCCTTGGGGCTGGCACAGGGCGAGCAGGGACCTGCTGGAGCCTCCAGCACTGGGAGTCTTGTTCGTGGGAGCACAAATTCAACTGGTGGTCTCCAAGCTTGGATCCAGCCTGGCAGGGTTGCTGGAGTGTTGCTGTGGTAGGAAAGGCAAAGGTTCAGTGATTTTCTCTTGGTTTTTTTTGGTTTGGTTTTTTTTTCTTTCCCAGAGAGAAACCTTTGCTTCATTGACTTTTCCATCAAATCTTGAACACCCTGAGTTCAGGTTCCTGCTCTCCAGAGTCTGGCACAGCAGGCTTGGCTTAGGGCACATGAAATGGGCTTTGCCCAACTAAGACCTGCTTGTTGACCATTCAAACTGGGCTGCAAAGTTGAGTGAGTTCTTTCTCTGCACACCTGAGTGCCAGTGCTTGCTTTTTCTCTTGACAGCAATTGAAATCTAATTTTGTTTCCTCCCACTTTGCTTTGTGATAAGTGACCACATGAAAAATCCTTCTTAACATGAGTGCACTGTCCCCCACTTCCTCTCCTGCTTTGGAGGATGAACAGCAACTTTGGACAGTTCCTTTAAATTCTGCTCTGCTCTGGTTTGGCAGAGGAGCATTTTCCCATTGCAGAATGCAGAGAGGAGGGAAAGGATGGGAAAAGCTTAAATTAAGAGGCTTTTAAAAATTACCTTCCAGTTTTGAGAGGAAAAATGATTAAATACTCTTAGCTGCTGGCAAAGACAGTGTCCACCTCGGGCAAGAACGTTTCAGCAGTGATGACTGAACACTTTGCAGTCCTCCAAACACTGGACACAGAGAAGAGCCCTTCAAGACCTGACTTGAGGAAGATGCTTGGGGAAGGCTGACTTTGCTTTCCTCTGCTTACCAGGGAAAGCAGCACATCTCCCTGTAACTCCCTAACCTTGGGATAATGCTGAACAGCTGCAGGCTTTTGCATGTGAGTCTGTGCTGGCAGAAGTTGTAAAAACTCGAGTTCTTGTGCTGAGTAGCTCCTAGGTGGCCTCCCCAGAACATTTGCCTAACAAATGGGCTGCAGATCACAGGATAACAGGCAGCAGGCCCGCAGGCACATCCAGATAACCGCTGCCCCTCCTGGAAAAGTACCATCGGGAGACTCCTCCAGCCACACTTGGATTCCAATCTGCCTTCACTTGGGCTGCTCCAGCGCTGCGAGTGGAAGCAGCTACAAATCTCCTGCAAAATAATCCTGACGTCCTGTCTTTGCACTCCAGATGGACCAAAGCACGGCGCAGCCTGCACGGGCTCACGGACACAGCTGTAATTATCCCCACGCTCCTGCTTTTCTTTCTTACTCTTTCCTCCTCCATCCTGCTTTCCCCTAAAAGGGGAAAAACTCTGACCTAAAGTCTAGAGCCGCACTTAAAAACGGTGTAGCCCCTTCAGTCTCTGCTCTGAGGGGGGGGGGAAAGGAGGAGATGGCCACGGTGGAAATCTGTTCCCAGAGCTGGATGTGGGACCTCAGCACAGGAGCATCCCCCGTTCCTCCTGCTCTCCCCGCAGCCCGAGTGAGTTCCCAGGTGAACAAGGAACTGTTCAGCTCCTCACTGCTCAAGGGTCCCCTCCAGAGCTCTGGAAAGCTTCCAGGGCTTAATGTGCTGTTTCCCTTGCTCTGAAGCAGGAGATAGGGTTACCCGTGCCTGTTCCTCAGGCAGACACAGAGCTCTCCTGCTCCTCGAGGGCTCTGGCAGCTCAGAGGTTCTTTTTTTTTCCCTTTGTCCATGTTTTAGCCGTGTGGTTTGCAACTGGGAAGAGCAGCTGAGCAGTGATAGATGTGTTATATCAGGCAAAGGGGGCATTCCTGAATATATATCAGGCAAAGAGGGCATTCTTGAAGTCTTTCTAATTTATTGCAGTATTGTTGTTTTGTTTGGTTGGTTGGGTTTTTTTTCCTGGAAGTGTTTTACACTTCCTACAGCATTAAGGTCTGGCTTTTCTTGAGTCAGAGAGGACTGTGGGGCTGGGCAGTGCTGGTGGAAGCTGTTACACACTCGAAGCTGTACACTGGGATAGGATATAATCTGTCTCAGAGGAACACAGAGGATACACCTCTGGCTTTGTCCTGAGTGCAAGCAGGATGATGTGGAGGATACCCAGGCACCCTTATCCTGACAAAGCTGCCCACAGGCTGTGTTTGTGTGGCTTGATTGCTTCCAACTGGCCCAGCAGAGCCAAATCCTTTCCAAGGGCTGTAACTGGAGTGGATAATGCTTTTGTAAAGAAGGCAAAGTAAATCTTGCAAAATGACAAAGGCAACAAAACATTCCTGGTTGAAATCTAGCAATAAATACCCCGTGTGCTGAGGAATCTGTATCTGGAGCCTTGAGTGCCAGAGGATCTTGTTTAAATCAGAGTAGGCTGACTGTTAATAGTAATTAAAAATCAGCAAGCAGGAAACAACAGATGCTAATCAGAGTTTAATTTTCTTCTTGGACTCCCTAAGAGTTGATTCTCAGGGGTGACTATTCTGGTGCAGGGCAGTTCCAGAGCTACTATGTTAAACACAGAATTAGGGCTTTGTGTTGTGGGTTTTTTGTTGGGTTTTGTTTGTCTTGTTTGTTTTTAAGTTGGCTGTCACAGCACACTAACTGAAAATGCCTTAGCTGGGAGATGTTGGCTGGACCTGCTTGTCTCTGTCCTCCTTTCCTCATGTTCCTCTAGTCACAGAAGGGGAAAAAATAGGCTTTCCTGCAATTTTTAGTTTTCCTAACTGGATTTTTCAGCTTATATCAGCTTATAACATTCTTGAGGACCAAGGTCTAGGTTACCTGCTTCTGAGAAACTTTAACCACTGCAGTGGGAGTCACTTGTTAACTAAATAATTAACTAACTGGAAAAACCGTTGAATTTTAAACTTGATTTGCCTGCAGTGATTGTAATTTCATGCTGTTTATGTTCTGGAGAGTGCTTAATGCTACAGTGTTTGGAGTTCTTAGTTGAAAATATTGCTTACTCACCTCAGAAGCCTCTCGGTTGCTGTTGCTACACAAAACAGCTCTGACCTTTTAGCAGGACTTAGTAGCTTGTTTCTGTCAGAGAATAAAGCATATAAATAAATGAACTATAAATAAATGAACAAACCCTGAGAAGCCAGAGTACTTCTGGAGTTTATTATCAATTAAGTGATATTGTCAAACTGAAATCCAGTGACAGTCCAAAGCCACGTAATTATTGCAGGCCTTGACATGGCAGAACTATTTCATCCTGGACTGTCAATAAGCAAGACAGTGTGTTCTGGGCCTTTAATTTATTGAAAACTGCCTCACTAAGCCCTGTCCAAGGGAAGGAATGTCTTCTGGTTTTGTGCTTCTGACTTGTTCTCCTTGCCCCTCCTCTTAATAGCCTGAACTGCAGTTGCAGATTGGCCTCAGTGGGAGAACAAATTTCCCAAACAAGCCTGGAGAGAATCCTGCAGGATATGAGCTGAGATAAAAGTTGTAATGCATTATAGTTTGTCAGAGGACACCGAGTCCCTGAGTGTCTCCAAGTGGCAGAGAAGTATTCTTTCAAAACCAGCCCTTCTGACCCCCATTCCCAAAGGGCTCCTAAAGAAAGGGATTTGCTGGAGCTGGAATGTTTGGCCAGGTTGCTGTCTCCTGAACACGACTGGGAGTATGCAATCCATCTGTTATGTTTGGCCATGCTTCCCACTTGGCTGCATGGCACAGAAACCTAAGTATTCCAGCTGGGCCCATAAATCCAATTTGGACACACTTTGTCCAGCCGTAACACCACAAAGTCCTGATTTTCTCCAGGAACACCAATCTCTGCTCAGAGGCAGTCAAGAGATGACTGAATTATAGCAGGGAATGTTATTCTTGCATGGAACTGGTTTCATGTGTGCTTCACCTTCAGCTACAAGAGCAGATGCTAACGAGGCTGCTGGGGAAGCAGAATTTCCATGGGAAAACTGCTTTTCCTGCAAACAGTAATTCCAATTTGAGCGTTCCTGTTGCCCTGAAGTGATGTGTAGCACTAGCTGAGCTTCAGGAGAATGATGCTTTTCTTACAGAATTGGGGAATTTCTGGCTTTTTACTGGAATGCTGCCTGAGCCTTGGGGCTGCTGTGGAACTGCTGTTTGGTGCTTACCCTGCAAACACACCCTGGAGCTGAACACACTGAGAACTATCCCACTAAAAATCCAGCATGCTGGGATCTGACTAAGCAGGGAAAGAGTCCAGTTTCTTGGAGCAGTTGATCTGGCTCTCAGGAAAGCTGCTCAGCAGGTTGGAAAGCGAAGTAGTATCGATGCCTTCAGTCCAGTCATGAAAATATTTCAGTTCTGGAGGTGCAGATCTCAAAACGTTTTATGTAATAGCCATGGAGATCTTGCTCTCTCTCTCTCTCTCTTTCTCTCTCTCTCTCTATATATGTAGAAGATAACCAAAAGCATTTCTTCTTCCTAGGAACTCCAGCAGCTTAGTAAGCAGTACAGCAATGTCAAGCTCCTCCAACTGGGTGAGTAAAGGGCTTTATTTCTGTCCATAGAAATATGTTCAACTTCCTCAGGTGAGTGCACCTTAAGAACCTGCTCTCCTGGGTGGTCAGTAGCTGGACATGATCTCCAGCAGCTGAAAACCCCCTTAAGATAACACTGGGGAACCAAAACCTATCTAAAATCTTCTGTGTATTGTCACCTGTGCGCTGCCTAAATGTCCCCACTCAGCTTTAGCTTTGGTTTGGGCACGTGCTGTGTCGTGCCAGGCAGGCTCTGACCCACACTCTTCACTGTGCCTCCTCTGTGCAGATGTGGTCTGTGAAAACAGCATCAAGAAAGTGGTCAAGGAAGTGGAAGAAATCGTGGGGGAGAAAGGGCTGAACTGCCTCATCAACAACGCCGGCATCAACGTGCTCGCCTCCTTGGAAGAGGTCACGGCAGAGACGATGCTCACCATCTATGAAACCAACACTGTTGCCCAGCTGATGGTCACCAAGGTAAGAACTGGGAGGAATGTGCTTGATCTGGGGTACTAAAGAGGGTTTTCTCTTATAAACAAAGTGTTTTTCCCCTTGGAACTGCACGGGTACAGTTCTGATGTTGAACTGCGTGTCTGGAGAGCAGCAGTTTGTCAAGGATCTTTCTCTGCATTTAGATCTACCCGGGGTGAGATCCCTTCAGAGGACAGGTGGGGTTAGGAGGTGGGTGGAAGAGTCTGAAGGACTTTGCTACTTCCAGCTGGCTGCTGTAGGAAGGTTTCCTACGGCCACCAAGTCTGAGGAGTCATCACCATTTTGTGCTCTTCAAGAGCCTGGCTTGCCTTGAATGGGGAAATTACACAAACTAAATCAAACCAAAATCATGAAATTAAAGCAAACTCTTGTTTTCCCAGGCGTTCTTACCCCTCCTGAGGAAGGCAGCCCAGCTGAGCACAGGAATGGGCTGCCACAGAGCTGCTATTATCAACATGTCCTCTCTCGCTGCCTCCATGCAACTCGTCCAGGCAAATGAGATGTTCCTCAAGGTCTACCCCTACAGGATAGCCAAGGTTTGTGGGCTCCCCTGGGCTGTGCTCCCTGGCTGAGGGCAGGCTGGGAGCTAGAGACCACGCTGAGCTTAGGATGGTGATGGACACAGAAACTGTGCTTGTTCTTCACGTGGGTGGAAGTGGGACCTGTAAAACACCTGGAGAGAGCATGTGAACTTCTGAAGAACAGGCTCCCAAATCACTGCTGTGATTCAGAGGGATTTGGCATTCAGGGAAGAACTGATGCCATGAAATGTGTGTGCTGTCAGCTGAGTTCCTCTCCAGTGGAGGAGAGATAGCACAGAACTCAGCAAAAGGTGTGCTGACCTGTACGTGGTGATGCTGGTTAGTGAGAGGTGGGATTTTTAGTTTTCTCACCTCCAGAGACTGAGTTTGTACGTATAGTGAAGATCAGACACAGAGTTTCTCCTACACCACCTACTCATAAGCTGTTAAATGCTTGTTTTCCCTGTTCAGAAGTAAATGAAGGTTTGTGTAGTGATTATTGCAGAAAAACACAGTCCTTATGTCAACATTATTTTCCTCACAGCCCCTCAGGCGTTTCAAATGCTACCGTATCTTCCATCATAACTTAGTTTCATCTTTGGGCAGTCAACTTGTGGTTACAGAGCTTCCACAATGCTTCTATTAACAGGTGTCTCTGAGAATGAAGGCCCAGTAAGTCTGGATAAGTTACTGTGATCTTGTTACTGCCCCTTCCTTTGTCAGAATTGTGGAAGGGAGGTGCCAATTAGCTTGGTTTGAGGTCTTGCCTGAGGTTTATAAACCAGCCCCCTAATAGATGGTTTCCTCTCTCGCAGACTGCACTGAACATGATCACCAGGTGTCTTGCTGCAGACTTGAAATCGGATGGGATTCTCTGTATTTCTTTGCATCCAGGCTGGCTCCAGACAGACATGGGGGGAAACATGGTAAGTGACATCTCTGAAAACATGAAAATAGGGCTCCCTTGTTATCCCAAGAGCCCCTGGCACAGTGTTCACCTCCATGTGCTGCAGAGGCACACCGTAAAGCAGGAAAATACATCCCTCTTGATTCTAGTAACTCCTTAAGTGCATTTGATTCTCTTCCGTAGGAAATTCCCAGTAATGAACCCAAGCTTGATTCTTTCCAGGCTCCCATGCAGGTGCAAGAGGCTATCCCAGGTATTCTCTCTGTTCTGGACCGTCTTGGTGAAAAAGAGAATGGTTCCTTCCTGGACTGGCAAGGGGAAACTCTACCATGGTAGAAGTGCACAGGTTACTACAGAAACAGCATGTCAGCCACGCTCTAACCTCTCATGTCTGTGTCTCTGGGGTTTTCTCACACACTAGTTGAAGTAGCCAGTCTGATATCCAGCCTCTCTAGGTGTCTTTGAAAAATGAAGTGGCTGACTCTCTCACTCGGTATTGCTACTGCTCTATTCTAATGCTTCCTGCAAACACTACTGTGCTCTTGGTGGTGGTGGGTATCTCCTGGAACCACCTGAAATGGATTAAAACTTGCGAGTTAAATCCAGGGGCTGGTTCCTCTTCACTTCCAAAACCAAAGTGGGCCTCTTGCTCTCTGCAGAGTTAAATGACCTGACCTCAGAGCAAGGCCAGTGTAGGCTGTCAGATCCCAGGACGCTCAGTCTGCTGGAGACACGTCTCCAGAAAAGAAGTCCTTTGGTTTCCTTCGGTCTTAACTGAGCCAAGGCTGAAAGTGCCCAGCTCTAAACCACGTGAATTTGGTACTTCTGTAAATTCCTTGGCAAACTGTCCCCAGGTTGACAGCATACACCAGGCATTGCTTTGTTCCCAGAGGGTGACTAACATCCTGATACGGGGGTGGGAATGTTGTTTTGTACATAAACTTCTGAAGTGTCTTCAATAAAGTCTTGTTTAAAAAACCAGTCTGTTTACTGAACTACTTCCTTAATTAATTTCTCTTCATTGGTTTCTCTTCCCTGACCAAAGAACTGCACTTCTACCTTGCAAGAAGGAACTCCAGCCATTGCTGTTCCCTTTCAGGCTAGATGAGTTTGACATGGTGGGGTGTAAAACTGAGACAGACCCTTGTTCTGGTCTGAAACACTAAAAGCAGCCGGTGAATAAATCCCTTGTGTGCTGCTGAGGGAGCTATAAAAGCAAAGCGTTCTTTGAAGTCTGGGATTGGCTTCACCATCCCTCCCTCATGCCAGCTGATGAGGCACTTTCATGCTGTGCCAACATGGTGGGTTCCTGCACCAAAGTAAGAAAAGACAAACAACAGCCAGGTAAGAGGGAGAGACAGGTGTGGCTGTGCCTGGACAGCAGCCACCGAGACCTGCCCACGGATGCAGACGAGGGTGTGTAAGGGAGAGGTGTCTGCCCGCCTTCCATGATCCCCATGGCAACAGGGATAGACTGTCTCACTGGAACGGAATCACAGGATCATTGAGGTTGGAAAAGACCTCCAAGAACATCAGGTCCAACCTTTGACTGATCTCCACCTCATCAATTAAACCAGAGCACTGAGTGCCACATCCAGTCGTTCCTTGAACACCTCCGGGGATGGGGACTCCACCATCTCCTTGGGCAGCCTCTTCCAATGTTTAACAACCCTTTCTGTGAAGAAACTCCTCCTGATGTCCAAAATTCCTCCTGATGTGGCTTGTTGTGCCACGCTTCCGTGCTCAGACCTGTTTCAGCTGTGACTCAGCAGGTGAACACAACACAGACATTGAGTTTCCAAGTGTGACCGAGGTGTCTGTGCAAACCCCGTGGGTGAGGGACATGCTGGGTTTGAACTGGTTGAATGATTTATTTTGGATCAAAGCTGGGGAAGGGTCTGGAGCACCAGGAGAAGCTGAGGGAGCTGGGGGGGGCTCAGCTTGAGATGCTCCCACAAGGTCACTGAGACCAGGACTGAGACCAGGACTGCGAGGGGTCGTGGGGGACCGTGAAGGACTGTGAGGGACCATGAGGGACCACGAGGGACCATGAAGGACCCTGAGGGACCATGAGGGACCACGAGGGACCACGAAGGACCCTGACGGACCATGAGGGACCATCAGGGATCATGAAGGGCCAAGACCAGGACCGTGAGGAGCCATGAAGGACCATGACGGACTGTGAGAGACCATGAGGGGCCAAGACCAGGACCATGAGGGCCCGTGAAGGACCGTAAGGGGCCGTGAGGGGCCATGAAGGACCGTGAGGGACCGTAAGGGGCCGTGAGGGGCCATGAAGGACCGTGAAGGACCATGAGGGACCGTAAAGGTCCGTGAGGGGCCGTGAAGGACCATGACAGGCCCGTGAGGGACCGTAACCATGAAGAATCGTGATTATGAAGGGCAGAGACTGGGACCGTGAGGGGCTGTGGTGGACCACGAAGGACCCCGAAGGGCCGTGAGGGACCGCCCATAAAAGGCCGTTTCGGACCGTGCGGTGCCGTCCCGCGGCCGCCCCCAGAGGGGCGCCGCCGGTGCCTCCGGAAGCCGGCGCGGCTGGCGGTGTGTGATGGCGCGACGGCGGGGGACGGCGGCGGGCCGGGGGAGGGAGGGGAGGGAGGGAGGCCGGGTGGGTTTCCGTTGCGGGTTCCGTGCGGGGCCGTTGCCGGGGCTCGGGCGGCGGCGGGCGGCTGGGGGCTGCGGGGAGGGGGCAGCCCGTCGGTTCCGGCCCATCCTTAGGGCCGAGCGGCTGCTCCGCCCGGCCTGAAGGGGGAACAGCGCTGTGCCGGGGAGACTCGGCTGCCGTGTTTTTAAAGCTAAAGCAGCCCAAGCTTTATTAATTAATCACCTCCGCGGCTCAGCTACCCCCTGTGCTTGGCCCCCACAGCACAGCCCGGCAGGCTGATGTGGTAAAACGAGGAGGGTGTTTAGGGTGTCTCAGCCCGTCTTTTTGGGGGGGTCGGGGTTAAATAGAGAAGGGTTTTTTTGTAAAATGCATGTTTGCCTCCGTAAATAAATGTTCTTATTTTAACAGTCATTGCTGGCTCTGCCGGTCAACAAAGTGAAACAAAATGTTAATATCACAGCTGAGTTCCCAGTTACTGAAGGCTTCGAGAATTGCAGGTAAAACTGGTGCTGTGGGACCTTATTTGTTTATTTATTTGGGTTTTTTTCCTGGGGTAATTTGTCTCTCAGAAATTTCTTTTCCGCGAAGCAATGACCAGGAGTGAGGAGGCTGTTGTTGAGTCAGTGGTTGCTGAGTGCTGTTACCTCTCAGATCTATTATGTCAGGATTGAGTAGCTCTGACTTTACCTCTTCTAAGCCGAAGAGGAGATTCCTTAGCAAAGCACAGGTTTGACACAGCAAACAGTTCCTTGCCGTTCCAAATTGCACTTCATGGAATCAGGGAAGGGTTTGGGTTGGAAGGGACCTTAAAGATCAACCAGTTCCAACCCTCTGCCATGGGCAGGGACACCTTCCACTAGACCAGGTCTGCTCAGCAAAGGAGAACCTCCACCCTGCTCTACCTGGGTGACTTGGGCAGTTCACACAGTAAAGTACAGTGTATTTTTAGCAGATGGCATTATAGCAGTGTAATTAAAATTTAAAAAGACTTCCTTGCTTTTGTGATGACAGTACAGGTTTTGTAAGGCTTTTCCTCTGTCACAGTGTTCTGGCCAGAGCTGCCTGGTGGTTTGAGAGCTGGGCAGAGCTTTTCTCATGAAAATTCCGCCTTCTAAACGAAATTCTTTTCTCCTAAAGGCCACCTTTTGCCCAGGTCTGTGTCTTCCTTCCTTTGCTGCCGCTCCACGTCCGCCCACTACAGCACCCAGCCCCCCAACACGAGCGGGGCCCAGCCCCAGCAGTGGCACACCCTGGACCCTGAGCTGGAGGAGATCCTGATTCCCAGGAAACTCTCCATCAGCCCCTTGGAGAGCTGGCTGTCAGTGAGATATTCCCTTCCCCAAGCAGAGGGGGCTCAGGAGGAGGTGGGCCATGAGCCCCCCCAGGGGTCCGAGTGCCCCCCGCCTGCCGTGGGGGAAGGAGGGGGAGCCCCCGGGGGGACAGTGCAGTGCAAGAACGTCCTCAAGATCCGCAGGAGGAAGATGAACCGCCACAAGTACAAGAAGCTGCTCAAGAGGAGGAAGTTCATCCGCAGGAGGATAAAGGAGGGGCGCAAGAAGAGGCGTCAGGTGAGCTCAGGGAAGGGGGAATTCCCCGGTGCCGCTCCTCGAAACGGCCCCTGTTTGGGTGTGGGGGGATGTTTTTAAGTGGGATTGTTTTAAAGCAGCAGCTTGGAGAGCCTTAAATTCAGTGTTTAGCCCCGAGCTGTGCCAGGGAAGGTTCAGGTTGGACATCAGGAGGAATTTCTTCCTGGAAAGGGTGGTCAGGCACTGGAAGGGGCTGCCCAGGGAGGTGGTGGAGTCCCCACCCATGGAGGTGTCCATGGAACAGCTGGATGTGGCACTCAGTGCTCTGGGCTGGGGGACAAGCTGGGGGTGGGGCACAGGGTGGACTTGATGATCTTGAAGACCTTTTCTAACCTTAATGATTCTGGGATGGTGAGATAGGTAATAGGTGAAATTTTTCTTCCATGGCAGTAAATTACGAAAACATGTGGCTGATGGAAGAAGAATTTTGGTGTTTGTGTGAAAGATGTGTCTGTGTTGTATCAGGGAGATTGGTTTAATCTTAATTTCTCTCCTGTCTTGCCAACATCCTCAGGTGCTTCCTGTTGTTTTATCCTATAGAGAAGCCTTTTTCTTCCATTAATAGGAGGGCTAGGGGAAGACATGGGCCTCTGTTCAAGCTGTGGATGTTCTCATTCAGCACTGCCTTTCAGTAGGGTTTGCTGTGATAGTTTCGTTCATTCTCTGCTAATTCTCACCTTGCCTGGATGCAAATTGGGGTTAATTGTAATTCCATGTCTTCAGATTTGTAGGAGGCAGTGTTGAACACCTAATGATGAGAAAATCCTCTTAATTTTCTTCCCATTTCATTGTCCCTCTTCTCACTTCTTCTTGCACGAGGCTTTTAAAATAATGCTACCACGATCCTCGTGCATTTTATTGTTTAATATTGTACTTTCTGCAGCAAGGTTAAATATTTTGTCACTTAAAACAAGCTGCTTTTGTTTCCTTTGTGTGTGTTACACTCAGATTGTCCTTGGGACATGTGGGCTGTGAATGAATATTCAGGTGTTGCTTCTGGGCTGTGTTACCTTTTTTTTCTTTTTTTTTTTTTCTGTTTTAGATAAAATTCGAGAAGGATTTGGAGCGCATCTGGAAAAGGGCTGGTTTGAAAGGCCCTCCTGCAGGCTGGCAAACACCCAAGATATTCCTGAGGAGTTCAAAGCGATAAAACCCCACCTGTCATGAGTTTTGACCTGTAATTGTAATTAAAAAAAAAAATATTGCAGTACCTGGATGACATTTACCCTTTCTCTGAACGTGATGAAATGAGCAGGAAGGAGTTTTCCAAGCACAGACCTGAGGGGAATCTGCTTTTCCTCCCCAGAGGAGTGGTGTGAGCTCTTTGTGTGGTGGTTTGGTGCTGCTCTGTGCTCTGTGTCTGAGCAAAGGTGTCCTGGGGCTGCAGCTGAATTTCTGGAATTCCTGTTTGATTAATTAGAGCATAAGAACAATCAGCTGTGGGAGATGGGATCAGTGGAAGGATCCTTCTTGATTGTATATATGACACAAGCATTTGGAAAAGGTCAAAACTGCATTCTCTCATAGCCTTATTTCAGAAAGGCTGGTGTTTTCTAAGAATTCTGGGGAGATAGGGGTTGGATCAGAATTCCATAGGATGTGTCTGTATCTGCAAAAGCTTTATCTGAAGCCTTGGTGTGCATGTGCCTTAGGCATTGCATGGACAACCTTAAAGGCACATTTGTGCTCTATTTTGTGCTAATAAAAAACTGTTATTTTTGTTTTCTTTGATTGACCCCTGTCACACAGAACATCCAGGTCTTGGTATCAATAAAAGCTCAGAGCTAATTATTCGTTAACTACAAAAACTTTTGTGCCTGAGACAACCCTGGTAATAATCACCTGGTTTTGCATGGTTGAAGAGAGTCATGAAAGCTGTGAAAAAATACAGGTATCTAAAATAAACCCTGACAGAGGGCTTTATATCTGGGCTCTGGTTCGGGTTCTGCTTTTGGTTTTTGTGTTTGAGGCAGTCCTGGGTGGTTCAGTGTGATTCAGCTTTTCCCTGTCTGCATTCCTGGGGTGAACTGACCTCTGAGAGAGGAGGGAAGAAAAATCAGCTCCTTTGGGCTGGTCACTGTGCAGTGCCCGGGGAAGCTGCCCTGAAAATGCATTCCCCTTTATTCTGCTTTAATGTTCCTGAGCACAGGATGCAATTTGAAACTCCCTCACTTTGCTGAACAGGATCAGACAGATGAAAGCTGCACTGAAGTTTTCTGCAGAGGGAGCACGAGTCCAGGAGATCCTGTTCACAGAGCTTTGCTGTGAGCTGCTCTTCCTCTCCAAAATATCTGCACACCAAGCAAATGTGTATGTGCATGTGTAGCTGTGATAACAAAAAAAACCAACAAAACAGGAAAGGTTTGACTGTTATAATTCCCCAAATATTTAAGACTTGGAAGATTTCTCTTTCTTCTCCTTATTTTGCTGTCCCGAGAGGAAATGGCTGGAAGCAGGAGGTTGATGAGACAAATCTACACTCTTTATTCCAGAGATTGGAGATAACCAGTGGGATGGTGATTTTGTGTCAGTCATTAGTCTGGAAAGGTCCTCAAAATTGGTATAGAAACCCAGTTTTTCTCTCGTGCTTATACCCTTAATTCTTGGGTTGCGTGCACTTCAAATCAGACAGTGAGCTCGGCTGAGAACACTGGAGTTTAATAGTTTTTCTCACAGTGATCAGGATTGTGCTGAAGTGATTTGGCTCTAAAAGAGGAAGTCAGCTGACTTGGAAGGGCCGAAAGTTCTGAATTTTGTTTCTTTTAGCCAAAAACCATCCCATTGCAGGCTCAGAGAGTGTTCTGCCTTTTGGAAAAGTGGGAGCCCAGCGCCGTGGTGGCAGTGGCTGCTGGCTGGATGTGGCAGGAACACCCATTTCTTTCTAATGCTGGCAAATAATGCTTCCTGGCAAATGAAATTTTGGTTGTCTCCTTGGCCTGGATTGCTGTGTTTCCTAGTAGGGTAAGAATTAAATGCATTTTTAGGAGTCTTCTCTAGAAAACGTGGTGTTCAGTTACATCAGTGTGGTTCTTGAAGTGTTTTAGAGGCTTCTGGACATAAAATAACAGTTCTTTCAGCCACACAAATGGATGCAGAATAACTTACAGCTGAGGATCAGGCCTGGCTGTATATGGGAAAGGAAGCAATGCAAAAGAACTGCTTCCTTGCAGCTTTTTCCCCAACTATTGTGTTAACACAATCCAAGGTAGGCTTGCTTGGCACAGGGGTGGAAAAGCCTGGATCAGCTGCCAGTGCTTTGCAGAGTTAGGTGGTTGTTTAGTGCTCGCAGAGCTGAGGTGTTTGCAATGACAAGGGATTTTTAGAAATGATGCAGAAGGAGGGGATTTATAATACTGATGGGAAGTAGAAAATTGACTTCAATTACCTTTTTATAAAGGGAGCACCCTTTTTATTGCAGGGCAGATCAAGAAGACAGGAAAGTTGGTCACTTGGCAACAAGGATTGAAGCCCAAATGGGTGGAAAATAGAAACATTTGAAGTGTGTATAAATTGCATCATCTTAGCAATTAATTTACCTCTTCATGCCCAAGTTAACCATAACCCCTTGTGGTCTGGAGGTCTGTGGAAAAGATTTTAGCCTTTGCTTTAATTCACAGGAACAACCTCCTTGGTAATATCTCCTGTAGTTTTGGGTCACTTCAAATGAATTCTGTTCAACTCTGGAGTTTGGCATGGAAAAAGGGGAAGTCCAGCAGGTCTTGGTTAAAAGCAACTGGTGCCTGTTTAAAGCACAAACGGATGTTCCTTTTGTTTGGGACTCTTGTGCTTGCCCTGCAAAGCAGTGTTGGATTTCTGTTTGGGTTTATTGTTTGTTTGGGTTTATTGTTTGTTGTTGTCAGGGGTTTTTTTCTTTGTTTGTTTTTGTATGGGGTCAGGGTTTTTTTTTCTTTGTTTGTTTTTGTACTGTGTGTGTAGGGTGTTTGATTGATTTTTGTTTGATTGTTTGGTTTTGGTTTGGATTTTTTTGTTTTAATATCAGAGGGAGAAGAGGATTTCTCTGCACAGCAAAACTCTGGCACTGGAAGCCCAAGTTCTTTCCATGTCTATACTGTGGGAACTGCTCTTTCTTCCATTAGCAAACTCAAGACCAGTCTTAAAAAGAAGTGAGTAGCCCATGTCAAGGAAAGCTTATGAGCATCTGGTGTACAAAACACCTTTTAGGGGATTAACAGGACCTGACTATCATTGCCTAATAATTCCTGAGCAGGAACAGTGGCTACCTTTACTCTGGTGAGCTCATGCTTGTGTTAAATGGGACACTTTCATAGGAAAAACTGTCAAAATATTGGTGTGTGCTTGTTGGCTTTAATAGCTCTGGGTCCTTCTCAAATTCTGAAGGCAGCTCTGCTTCAGTGGGTCTGATCCCTGCTCCAGGGGTTCCAAATTTAAACAAACCAGGCTTGTTTCCACTGGCTGATCTCACAGACAGCACCTGTGGATAACTTAAAATGACATCTTTTCTTTTCACCAGTCGTGTTCTGCTGTTGGCATTTCTGTCCTGACTGGGAAAACATCCTGGTTTGGGTTCATTTGGGCTGAGCCTGATGGGTTCCTCTTCCAAAAATAACAGCACTCAGTCCTTCACCTGGAGCACTGCATTTGGGGGTTGGAAAAGTGGGGTTTGTTTTTCCTACTGATTTCTAAATAAATAAATAAAATATCAATAGCTGGAGCTCCTGCAGACATCTGAGCTGGCTTTGAGCAAACAACAGTGTGCTGGCTTTCTTGTGGAAGGATCCATTCTTGCCTGACTTTCCCTATAAAACACAGGGACAAAACTGCAACAAGGAGTTCTGTGAGCCAGGGAATTTAAGGAAACCATGTGATACGTCACTTTTGCGTCAGTTCCCTGATTTAGGGAATTTTTTTAGTCTTGCTCCCTGCCTGGGCACTAAGAGCTATAAATCTGAGACTTGTCCCCTTGAATGCAGCTGAAATTTTCTGTTGTGGTTCAAAATAATGGGAAGAAGGAGGAGGTTGGATGGGCAGTGGGGCCACATAACTGTAGGTGCCTTGCTTCCTTAGGAAATGGAAACAGGGCTAAATGGAAGTGGCTAAAATTTAGTTGGAAGTAGAAGAATCATGTGAAATACTGGTTCTGAAGTGAGATTTTTCACTTGTTCAGTAATCAAGGCTTGGTGCTGCTCAGGCAGAGGGACTGTCATTGCCTTTGGTGTGTCCAGGTCTGGAAAAAAACCACTCCTGGAAGCCTCTCAGCAGCTGGAGCACCTCAGAGTCCCTCTTCCACTTGCAAAGTGACTGGTGTTGAGGCAAAGACGTGGAGTCCTGAGCAAAGAAATGCCACAGCAGGTAAAAAAACCAACAGCTTGGGATTTGAGAGGTTTGGTTTAAGGGAATCAGCAGTTCAGGGTGAGAAGCTTCTGGCTGAGCTTTATCACGAGCCAGTGAGGAACTGGTTAAAGTTGAAGGATAAGAAGAAAGAGGTAGAAGAGGCTGCAAAGAGTTTTAGTCAGCAAAGGAGTGTGTGTGAGCAGCAGCAGTGACTCACCAGCCCCACTGCCCGGCTGCTCCTGAGTCAGAGCCCATGAGCCCTCCCTGGCCAGGGGTTTTCCCTGCTGTCAGCACGGAGGGAGCCAGTCCCTGGAGGGGCAGCCAGCTGGACCCTGCCCAGCAGCAGCATCAGCAGGTACATCCCGAGGGCAAAACGTGTGCCTGCTCCCCTGGGCTGAGCCTCTTGGGCTCCCCTGACCACTCACCCCCTCGGGGTTCCAGCTGGGCAGCATCTGTCCTGCTGCTTTCCCAGGTCTGAGTGGGCATCCCCTGAGGGTTCCCTGTCCCTCTGGTGTGGGAGGGTGTTGCTGTTGGCATCCTGTAGGCTCGTGTGGGCCATGGAAGGCAGATAAACAGTGTCCTGCTTTCTGATAACATCATCCCTTGGGGAAAGCCCAGGCAGGAAAGGCTTCCTCCCAGGAGTAATTTATGCAAAAACCTGCTGCTGTAGAAAAAAAAAGTGAGAGGAAAATAACAATATCTGGGCACAATACCTTCTCCTGGAGTGTTTGTTTAATTATAGAGCTGAGGAGCAGAAACAAAAATACCCACATGTGGTTTTCAGTGCAGGAACAGCTCCCTCTGGAGCAGGGCTGCCAGGATAAAGTCACCTGAACATTTCCACTTTGTCCTGATGGAGGGACATGCATTTCTATATGTGGTGTCATCAGGCTGCTCTCCTGTGGAGTGGGAATTTGATTTCTAAGGGAGGCAAAGCCAGCAGCACCCTGGGGTGTTTGGTTTTTTTTAGCTAGTGATGGTTGCCAGAGTTCTCCTGCACTGATCCTGAGCAAATACACTGTTCACACAGACTACCCTCAAAAACTGGCCAGGCTCCATATTTGTGTGTCTAAATTAGGATTAGATTGCATTATGGAGGGCAAGCTCCTTTCACCCGAAGTATTTTTACTTTAAATGAAACGGCCTGCAAACCTGAGGTAAGTCAGAGAACTCAGGGAGCACCCTTTGAGCACCCTTCTCAGAGCCAACCTATTAATTTTTCCACTCTTTCCCAGTCATTTCTGATCTCAAAATAAGCTGGTGTGCCCGGAATGCCACTGCTTAATTATTTTGGGCGGGTGCAACAGATGGGCTGCAATTTGTGTGAGGGATGGAGGTTCCCTTCCCAAGCTCCTCGTGCCAGAGCACTGTTCCCATGTGCACTGAGACCAAAAGATGTGGTTTGGGGCACGGTGCTGGTGGTCAGGAAGGGGACACAAAATGCAGCTCTCTGAGTGTGTCTGCTCCTGAGCACTCCCAGAGCTTTGCT